CCCCATTTTTGACCGTCCTCAAGACTTGGACATCACCATTTGAACACTCGGTGATCATCTTTGTTCGTGTTCGTTTTGAGTTCTTGGAGGTCTCGGCTACGCGCCTTGCCTCAAGATCTCTCAATGTGACTGTTTTGTGCTTGGTTGTGGACCAAACACTTGTTTTTCTATTGTTAAGGGAAGAGGGTGGATTGTTGGCCATCCCCTCAACCCACCGGCCAGGGCATGATGCCACCGGCCCTTTTTTCTTGCCATCGGCCAATGGTTGTGGCCGGTCGGCACCTTTGTTGGTCGGTCGGCCATGTGTGTTGGTTAATCGGCCAAATTTTTCGACCGACCCCTTTCCATCTGCTTTTGGCGGATATTTTATGCCAGCTGTCAGAGCTGGCATCCACGATACACCCCCTCCATACACGTGTATGGAGGGATTTCATTCTTGTTTAGCTTCCCTTGGAAGTTTTGTAAATTGGTTTTTCTGTAAAAGGGAGACCTCCCCTCCCTTTCCAGGGGTTGAAGCATCTGATACACAAGATATATATCTATATCTCTCTATATCTCCCTCTCTCTATAGTTGTGTGTATTAGGGTTCTAAAGGGGTTTTTGTTCTTAGTTTTGCACTAAGACGCCTAGTGTTACGCTATAACTTGGTTGCTGAGGTTTCAACGGGTTGATTTCAGAGTTTTGAGTTGGTTTTTGATCAAAAGGAAGTGCTGAGGTTGGTGTTCTTGAAGTGTTCTTCAAGGGTGAGAACTTACCTTTTTATTCTCCATTTTTTCTTAAGGTTTTAGACCTATTTGCATATTGTTTCAAGCTTAGTGTATAACTGATAAAAGTTCTATATTTTCATGCTTAAGATGTTTCATTCAGGTCACTTTTGTGTTGGGGGTCGTCCACCCCCTCTTAGGCCTTGTTTGGTCTCTTTTTGTGCCTTCCTCTTTGGGCTTTGTAACCCTTTTGTTTTGGCCTTCTCATCACTGAAATCCAGAGGATTTTCAGTGGTAGAGAAGTAGTTTTGAGGTCTTGTATAGGGGAGGGACACCCCTCTCCCCTTGTCACTCATTTGCTTGCATTTAAGGCTCATAAAGGTAGCATGTTTCCATAGCTTTACTTGGCTCCATTTCAGAGGGTATTTGGTGTTAGTTTATCATGTTAGACCTCTGTTTCATGTTGATTCAATGGCCTATTGTATGCATCATGCACTTGCTTTGTAATCCCCTCTATTGTCATAACATGTACCATGCATTTAGACCATCATACTTGCATGTTTTAGCTTGACTTCATGAAACTTTTATCCATGTTGTGACATGTTTAAGCTCTGTTTGGTGTCGATTTGGTCATGTTTGCCATGTTTTGTATAGCCACCATGTATCCTAGCTTGTTAACTTTGAGTATATGAATCATGAACATGCTTTACTTGAGTCATTTCAGTGATTTGGAATCATTTATCATGCTATTTCAGTCCATGCTCCATGCTTGTATGCTTGCATTTACCATCGTTTCAAAGATTTGAAGAGTTGTTCTTTTGTGCCTTAAAATAGGTCATTGTGCATGCCTCTTTGTTTAAGTCCTTGGGCTGCCATATCAGTGGGTTTTGGGGCTCCTTTTGGCATATTATAGCTCTATTTTTCTTTGAATAATCCTTGCCATGTGTGGTTGAGGTAGTTATAGTGGAGCGCTCTCTTTGTGGCTTTGAATGCCCCTCATTTTTGCGCCCATTTCCTAGCATGTTTTGGCCTCATCCCATGCATGTTCTAGCATTATTTTGGCCTGCCAAGGGACTATTTTAGGTCATCTTGGTCCCTTGGGGCTTGGTTGATATGGCCATGGTTTGAACCCCTTTGTTAGTCTTGAGTTTTGGCCTTTGTTGCATGCCTTACTTGCATGGCTCGTTTGATTTGGCATCATCCTTTACACATTTTCAAAGCTTGTCATGCTTGTGATTTGTCCATATTTGTCTCTTCTTAATGTGCTTGAGAGTCGACTCTTTTCATGCCTAAGTGTTGGACCTTCACATGTGCACGTTTGGGTGTGTTTTGTCCATCATTTCTTGGCACTTTGGCCACTGTTTTGGACATGGCTGAGGCCTATCCATCCTTAGTGTAAGTCCATTTCAGACCTGCCTAGGGTCTGTTTGGGTTTGGTTTTACCATATGTGCATTGCTTTGTGTACCTCTAGTGTAACCCGCTTC